GATTGGCCGGTGGGGCGGATAAACAGATGCCGAAGCCAATGGGGTGGTGGTTGCTGGCTGCTAGGGGATGCAGCGGGGGGGTTGCTTTTCCCGGGCAGTGCTGCTGGAGGGAGCGCCAGGATCCCCCTCTCCCGCTTGCGAAAATTCTGCCCTCGTAGGGATCCGGTTGACCAGCCTGCAGTGGAATCGCCCCCTCTAGGCTGTGGCGCTGGGACCCCTGCCTGCCCCTCGGGGCTGGCCCGCGGGAGGTTTTGTAGAACGCCTCGGCTTGCTTTTCGCAACATACCGAATCGCACCCGGGAGCAGGAATCTTGAAAACTCCTTCCAAGCTGAGGCTAGTCTCAGGGGCCCGGCCAAGGCTTCTGTACCCCCACCTGAACCTTTCCAAGGGCACAAATTCAGCACGATGCACTCTCCGAGAACCATAGGCGATCACTTCATATCTATTTGTATTGCTTCCTTCCTTGCTTTGGAGAAAGTTTGTACTTGGGCTTCCCCTGTATACAATTTCCTGCTTTCTTACCCCTTTCCCTGTAAACATACACACTTGGGGTTTATCACAGGCCAAGGGAAAATATTTTTGTGGGGGACCCTGGGTAAAAGATTCACAAGTCACAGGGTTTTGTTTTTTTTAACCCTACTAAACCTACCTACTAAGAAAAAGAAGGCATTAATCCCCCAAAAATAAATCTTCCTAGATTAGAACTAAGTACCTGACAGAAAAGAATGGGGCAAGGAAGGGCATAGTCACTTGTCTATAACTTATTGATACTACATAGACCAGTGGCATGTAACTTTGTTGTCCCGAGGACCAAAATATTATTTTAAAAGGACCAAGAGAAGCTGAAAATGGAGTTGCCTACCCTGAGCTGTAAGGCTGGAGCTTCTCATGGGGAGGCAGGTTCCTCCAAGGACCAAAATCTCCAAAATAGGTAACAGTGAGGCTATGCCTACACTGCAGGTGCTTGTCAGCAGAGAGTATGCTAATGAAGTGCTCATTAGCATGTGTTGCACTGTCATTTGCGTATTTCTGCCGATGCTTTTTGTGCACGAGGTTTTTGCGCAAAAACAAGCAGTGTAGACAGGTCTGTTTTGCACATAAAAAACCTTTTGCACCAGATCCCATATACCTCCGGCATAAGGGATCTTGCATAAAAGGTTTGGTTTTTTTCGCAAAATGGGCCCATCTACACTGCTTGTTTTTGCGCAAAAACCTCTTGCGCAAAAAGCATTGGCAGAGATCTGCAACTGAGCATGACAAATGCTAAGGAGCGCTTCATTAGCATACTCACTGCAGGTATTTGTCCACAGAGCAGATGTAGTCTGGATGTTTGAGTCTGGATGTTACCAGTGACACCAGCTTAACTACAAGGCACTGTTGATTCAGAATCATAACAAACAAGGAGGGGAGAGTAGTAATGCTGGGAGGCTGTCATGAAGAAGGTGTCTTTTTCCTTGTCTCCATAGCAATAGGTCTGATTCAAACACTACTCATTAAAACCTGCAGGACACATTTTCCATTTGGAATCAAATGCACATTTTCTTGTTAAGACAGAAGCCTTTGAATGGCCACATTTTTAAAGCCTCAAGAGCTGCAGGTTGGATGTGCCCAATGTACACTAAGGACAGAGGCACAAGAGAAAAGTTATGCTGCCTGGATTTGTCACATCTTCTACTACCTATTTGAGAGTTTGTACATCTGTCCACAGGTCAGATCCAGGCCACCAGGGTTAGCTTCTGGTGAGGCCCCACCACTCTATTTATCTGCATGGTAGGAGGTACTGGCCATCACAGTTCCTGTTGGCCATGGATCACTGTTCCTGGCCAATGGGAGCTGAGAAAGCGGTGTCCTGGTCCACACTGTTTCCCATTGCTCCCATTGGCCAGGAACAGCAATCCAGGGCTAATGGGAGCTGTGATCGCCAGTACCTGTGGCCATACAGGTAAATATAGGGCAGCAGCCCACCAAGGCTAACCCTGGCAAACTGCTTCTGTGTTATGCCCATCCCTGAGCTAGGACCACTACGTTTGGTATGCTGCCTTTTCTTATAAGATAAAGCAAGGTCAGAGTTTGGTTGGGCCAGGATAATGGGATGCGATTATTTCTCATCACATGGAAAGGGAGGGCTGTGACAGGAGGGACAGTAGTAGTGTATAATGACCACGTAGGAGAGCAAGCATAGGGCAGTTATACTCCAGAATAGGGAGGTTCAATTTAGATTAATTGGCTAATTGAATAGTAGATGCAATTTGCATGGACTATTAAATTAGTCAATAAGGGCACCTCCGCCAGGGCTGTTGCTACACTTCAAAGGTGAAAGCGCTGCAGGGAGCACAGAGCCAGCAAGCAGTCCCCTGCTGGCTGCGTGCTCACTGCATTTCAAAGTGGGAGTCCGCAGCTGGCCCTGGACTGCATGCAGCGTTTCAAAGTGGCAGACCCAGGGCTCCACATGGCACTGCCACTTTGAAGCACCCCTTCCTCTTTCCCCCTCCCCTGCTGCCTCTTTCTGATGGGAGGGAGAGGGGAAGCAACTAGTCGACTAGTCATTCACATCCCTATTCCAGAATGACCGCAGGAGAGCAGCAAGCACACCCCACACCCCCAGCCCTCTGCTCTGAGGACCCTCACAAACCTAGCCCCCTGCCCTGAGCCCCCCACATCCCTAAGCCTTTGCCCTGACTCCTGCAGCATCTCCCATCCGCAGCCTCATGAAGGACCTGAGGAATGCTGGTAAATCTTCTAATACTAAATAAAAGTGTGAGAAACTGGAAAAGAAAGTTCAATTCCTAATGGTCAAAGAAGCCGCAAAAAAAGGGTCTGGGACCAGCCAAATAAAGGGGATATGAGAACTCATGGACTCAGAAGAAAAGATGGGGTTTCTGACATTTTTAAGTCTCAACACCCCTGGTCCTCATGTCTGTGCAGCCGATGCGGGAGTAGAAGAGGAATAGAGTAAAGAGCCTCTCCTCACTTTATGACGTCTAAACAAGGACAGGGCAGAAATGCAGTCTCAGGAAAGTACATGAATCATCCCCTAACTACTCCCTAGGGGTGCAGAACATTCCAAATAGGTAGCGCCATAGCTACACCCTACTCTTACATGCCAGACAGTGAAGCTGGCAGCCTCCTTGAGATGGGGAGCATGCTAAACCTCCTAACGGGATACTGCAAACGTGTTCATCAGTCCCTACTCTTCCTCCCCCATATCCTGCACAGCAGTAAGATGCATTTTGTCTCTCTTGGGGAGAATGTCTCCAGTGTTGCTGTGGTGAGGCAGGGCTACTTTACACTGCTTCGTAATGCAGAATCATGTCTAAAAGGCAGAATCAAGCCGTAAATGACATTGGAAATAACTATCTGAAGAAAGCAAAGCAGTCATCACTCTTTCAAGGAACAACCCAATGAATGCAAATTAACACCAGCCTCTTGCCTCCTTCCATCTGGATGCAGATGTGTGAGATTTACATCCTGTAATTGCAATAAGAATGTTTAAAACAAAAAAAAGACCACTCCTGCTAAGCAAAAGCAGCAGAATGTAGGAGTGAGCAGACTCATTTATGCATGTATCTAGTAGGGATGTAAACAAGTAGTCAAGTACTCAACTACTAGCTTTCCCCCTGCCTTGCTGCCTCTGAATCTTATTGTTTTTGCAGATGCAGACTAACACAAACTACCCCTCTGAGGCTTAGCATTTAAGGGAAATCCTTTTCTAGGACCATGTTTCATGCAAGTATTGATACTACTCTTATTTACAAGATGATTGCAAGAGTGGAAGCAGAGTAAAGAAAGAAGGAAACAAAATTAGGAGGAAGAACAGTAGAGTAAGCAATGTATTGTTAACATTTTCCAAAATATTCGTCATTCTCTGCTGACGAAGCTCTATTCCTTTGATGTTTTCTTTTAGTTATTTTTGGAACACATTGTACTTAGATATTAGACTATTTTTGATACACAAACAGTCATCACTACATAGTTTCCAGCTTAAAAAGGGCTTCCTCTGCCCAAATCCTGCCTCTGGGCCCTTCTTGTTCCAACGCCTCCTGGATTTTTTGCCACCAACTCTGTCTTCCCTCCCAAGCCCTCCTTATTTCCCCCTGGCACAGTTAAACATTCCCATCCTCCCTGTCATCCATGCCTATGATGGAGGCATTCTCTTCAGGCTTGTCTACAGAAGACCTTACTGCATTGCATACCAGGGTGTGAAGCTACAGTGTGCCAGCTTCCCATGCTGTAACATCTCATGTGGAAACTTGCTGCAGCACATTGAAAATCCTGGACTATAGCTGGCATACAAAGCTTTCAAGCAGTAATAAAATCGACTGCACTCTGGGACTTTCACTACTCGGTAGAACCACTACCACCCCTTCATTTCTCTCAGATCCATTGAAAATGCCAGTACTAAGATTATCTTCCTGACCCACCATTGTGACTTTATTGCCCCTTTCCAGGTTTTCCTCCTTCTCTCCCACATCAAATACAAGTTTCTTGCTCCTACCTTTAAGTCTCTGCTTCCCTTTGCACTTTCCTATTTATGTACTCTTCTATCTTATTACATCACCTCTCTGCTCCACTAGTGACAACAGCCTATATCACCCATTTATTCATTTTCTCTCAGGCATCCTCATGCTTTTCTTCCAGAATGCTGTTCCCAAACTAGACCAAGACATCACTGTCTTCTTCCAAACCCATGCAGCCAGCAGAGTACACCGCTGACCTTGAAAATGCATGTCCTTATTGCTGTTGCCCTCATCCTCTTTTGTCTGGGTGCAGCTCCTCAGTTGGGCTTTGTCTACACTGCGGCTTTTGCCACAAGAGCCTATGCAAATGAAGCACAGATTAGCATATTGCCATACTTCATTTGCATAATTTATTCAAACTATTTTTGTCCAAGGGGTTTTCGCACAAGAGGTTTTCATGCAAAAACAAATAG